TCGCAGATCGTGGCAGGAGTGGCACTTTCTCGACACCACAGGGGGTGCGCAGAGGGTGGTCCCTCAGCGCGGCCTCTATCCGTGACACGCTCGCAGATCGTGGCAGGAATGGCACTTTCTCAACACCACAGGGGGTGCGCAGAGGGTGGTCCCTCAGCGCGGCCTCCGTGACACGACACGCTCTCGACAGAGAAGCAGTGACACGCTCGCAGATCGTGGCAGGAGTTTTTCTCGACACCACAGGGGGTTTGCAGAGGGTGGTCCCTCAGCGCGGCCTCTATCCGTGACACGCTCGCAGATCGTGGCAGGAGTGGCACTTTCTCGACACCACAGGGGGTGCGCAGAGGGTGGTCCCTCAGCGCGGCCTCTATCCGTGACACGCTCGCAGATCGTTGCAGGAATGGCACTTTCTCAACACCACAGGGGGTGCGCAGAGGGTGGTCCCTCAGCGCGGCCGCTATGCACGACGGTCGTCCAAGGCATAGCAGGCGTGGCATTTTCTCGACACCATAGAGGGTGCGCAGGGGGTGGTCCCTCACCGCGGCCGCTGTGCACGACGGTCGTCCAGGGCACTTTCTCGACACCATAGAGGGTGCGCAGGGGGTGGTCCCTCACCGCGGCCGCTGGCTGGCTCGAATCTGTCCTCGATGGAGGATAGAAGGCTAGGAAGAGGGAGGAGGTTCAAGCAATATGGCGTTGGATGACACATAGGGGAACATTCGCTACGAGGGCTCAGAACGCAGAATTGCGCATAGATCATAAACTCAAGCAAACACATAAGATTTAAATTAAGTATGTGGGGTTCCTCGGTAGCGTTAATTGAAACCTCGCTGGGTCCCGATTTTAGCGAAACCGCGTTCGTTTGATGCCCAAGAGGGGCAGGAGGATGGATTTGGCTGGCCCAGCATGTTGCCGAAACGATAAGGGCCTCCAGCAGGCTTCACCACCCTTGCAATCAGGATTTGGTCGACCATGAGGCCGTCGCTTGACTTGCACAAGATGTGCAATTTCAGATGTCCCAGCTTCGTTCTACGCCGTGCACTGGGGAGGGCACTAGTATCCGTCTCGATGCCACCGTTGCGCGGGCCCTTTCTTTGCTGCGCCGATACCCTACTGGCGATAGTTCATCTTGGCGACAGGAATGCCAGGAGTTTCTCGAGGCCTGTGGGGACGACCTCCAAGAAGCCGAGAAGGCCATCCGCAAGGCTCAGCAGGACAGCTGGGATGAATGGTAGGAGAAGGCTTTAGAAGGAGGAGCGAGGGCGATGCATCGATTAACTAGGCTGAAGCAGAAGTGGAATCCCACTGTCGTGCAGACTCACCCTGGCATTCTCGCTAACGATCCTCAGGCGCTGCTGAAGGGACACTAGTGGTGAGCTCGCTCGTTGTTTGGCACGCCTCGCATAGACCCCCTGAGGCTTGTGTTCCCGATAGGCACCATTTGCCGCGCCCGTCTGCTCGGCAAACCCGCAGCGCTTCGCACTCCTTCTCGCACCTCGCGCCCCAGTCTCTTGACGGAATACATCCTCGTCAATTGAGCCCGGTGTCGGACGCGGCTCTTGAAACCCTTGCGGCGATTATCTAGGCTTCGGAGAGCCTGGGGTCGTTCCCGAAACATCTGTTCTGGCTTCTTTTCCCCCTTCTCGAAAAACCTAAAGGGGGGGTGCGGCCCATCCTGTTGCGCGCGGGGCCTGGTCGCGTTTGGGAACGCATGAGGCGCCCGGCCATCCTCGAGTTCAATGATATGTTTCCTCGTAAGTATTGGGCCTTCGGCCCCGGCCGCAGCGCCGGGAGTGCCGTGCGGCACCTAGCTGTTCAGTCGGAGGCTGCGCACCGCGAGAACCAAATCACGGGGGGAGGAATTTGGGACGGCACCAAATATTATGAGTTGTTCGATCTCGAACTCCTCCGCCAGCGTGGCCTCCAGCACGGCATTGGCCCCGTCATTGTCAATGCCGTTTTCAACTCCTGGCGAGGGCCCAGGCTCCTTCGTTTGAGGGCCCAGTATGGGGCCCTCCCTGTTTTCGCCAGTTCTGTTTTTTTTCGCGGGAGACATCTTTTATGACATCTCCGTTCGGGTCTATGGCATAGGAGCGCTCGATAGGTTCACGGCGGAGCACCCTGACGTTTGGCCTTCTTCTCATGTGGGCGACGATAGCGTCACGCCCCACGGCAGCGAGCAGCAGGTGCTGTCCAGCATCTCCCGAGCAGCCGCTTCGCTGCACATCCTCTTTCGTGACGAGCTCAAGGTGGCCGTCCATCCCGATAAAGTTTGCACCTTCGCCAGCAGCTCTGAGATTCATCAGGCTAGACGCGTTTTGCTTTCTTTCAAGCCCCCTCGGCACAAGGGAATCTCCCTGCACGCTAAGCTCGTTTTTTGTGGCGACCCCATGTGGAGATCTGCTGTTGCCCCCATTCTGCACTGGGCGACTGTGATCTGGATCGATTTAACCAGCCCTGGCACGTCCTACTACAGTATCAAGGACCTCTGTAATATGTGGAAGGCTGTTCCGTTCGAAGACACGGTCACGCGCCGTTATTCCAGAGGGCCCCATTCAGAGGATGCATCTGCGCCTCCACAGGATCGGTTGGGTCCCCACCTCGGCTATGTCCTTCGCTGACGATTATGGAAGAGAACAGCGCATGAACTATACCTCCCCCGCCCTCCTCTCCCACCTTCTGGATAAGGCCATTCAGAGAAGCCATGAGCGCAATCTCGCTCGTTTGACTCCTGGTTTCCACAGGGCCCGTGTTTGCGTTGAGCCGCTGCAGAAACTCCTCGGGCCGCGGGGTAAAGGAATGTCTGCTCGTGAAAAGTATGGCGCTCACCTGTTTTTGCGACGGCATCTGGGCTCGGTCGCGAGCCAGGGCCCTTGGGTATCGCTCTGATGGCTGCTGTCCTTTATGCGGCCAGGCCGACAGTGTTCGCCACCGAGCGTGGCAATGTATGCGCCCTGACGCCGCGCTGGCCCGGTCCGAGGCGCTGGGGCAAGAACCGGCCCCTTGGCATGCTGATGGCCTCGAAAATGATGAAAGGACGTTCTATGATCCACTTCGGTGGGAACACCCTGAAATTAGTTGGCCAATGCCTTGCCACGACCCCGACCCCCACCTCTACGACCCCAGCGGCCAAGAGATCGCTTGGGGCAGTCCTGACTTGAGCCACGCCGATGTTTGTGTCGACGGATCGGCGATGCGCCACCCCATTCGCGAGCTCTCGAGGGCTTCTTACGGTTGGGCTTTCTTGGGCGATCGTCCTGGTGAAATTCTTGCCATTGCCCGCGGTGCGGTCCTCGATGCCCTCCCCCAGACGCCTCATGCTGGGGGCATCTCGGCATGGCGCTCCTCCCGATGTTTCAGAAGGTCGGGGGGGGGCTCGGTGCGGGGATGCTATGACTGTGATAAAATTATGCCTGAGCTCTAAAGTCCACCAGGCCCCCCGAAAACACCCTTATGCAGGACCTCGTCGTGGCGGGCTGCTGCGCGAGAGTATGGATCACGAGCCTCCCGTCCACTACACGCCAGTACACCGAGAGTTTGCTGTAATTGATACCCTCCCCGCCGCTGATATACGAATCGGTTTAGGTAGCTGACGCGCGGATGCCCGGGCCAAGAGAGCGCTCCTCGACCACCCCCAACCTTCCCCGTCGAAGTTCGGGAGGTGGATGCGCGATTAGCTAAGCTCCAGGTTGCGCCCCGTGTCCTCGGTAAAGTTTAGGCGGTGTTTCCACAGGAGAAGTTTGAAAGGTGCGTGGAGGGAGGTCCTCGGGCCAGGTTTTTGAAGTCTGGTGGTTGGCATGCGCGGCAAGACCTACAAGAGGGTCGCGCCCGATGCGCCCGTTGCCTGGCCTTCTCTAGTGACCCCCACTCACGCCCCATGGTCGGCTGTAAAGGAATGTCGGCCACTCTCCGCAAAACCCTGGACCTTTCTTTGGGACGCACCCTCACCCATTGTAGGGTGACTAAAGGGGAAAAGGAGCCCGTTTTACTTTTCCGTTTGGTGCGTGGCGCTTATACGTCTAGCCGACGCCACCTTTTAGGTAGAGAATGTCCCCAGCATAAGCTCTCGGGTGCGCCCACTACCCTGCGTAGGATCTTCCAAGGCTTGTGCCCCCGCTACAGAGAGGAGGGCGCTCGTGTTAGTTCCTCCAGTCGTCGAGGGGGTTCGAATCTAGCCTATGCCTCTGCCTTGCCCCCTCCAGACGAGGTGGACACGATTTCATGACCAAGGGGTTTGATCCAGATCCCTGGTCTTCAGGCTCTTGCCCTTCGAATTCAGGAGCGGGAGCAGGCTCGGAAGGATCGAGCCGCCGCAGAGTGCGGTTAATGACGTTACCAATGCGTAGGACGAGAATGCGGTGGCATTAACCCGCTCGGCCTTTGCCGAGAATGCGGTGGCATTAGCCCGGCCGACCAATCGAGCACGATCGCTCTTTGTTGTGGAACGAACGGTCAGGCCTCCCGAGGGCTCCAGGAGAAGAAAAGGGTTTGTTCCACGTCCTTGGGCTCCTGGTGATTGATTTTGCGTGCAAATTCCGCGGTGTCGCTCGCCGTGAACCGTGGTTGAGCAAAGACAGCGTGGGGCTCCCCCCTTGGAGGGAGCGCCGTTCACTCGCGTGCATTCGCTCGCATTTCGCGCTATGTGGTCTTGATGGCAGACGAGACATTTGGATAGATATTGCTTCGTCACCGCCGCCTTTTCCTCTCTTCCTTGTCCTCCTCCCTTCCTCCTCCTCGTCCTCCTCCTCCTCCTCCGTAGCCATTTTGGCTCAAGATGATTGGTTCCCCTGGGGACCGCACGGATACCGCTAGTCCGCGGCCAGACCACCGTTCGCCTTCACCGTGGGAGTTGGGCGCCCACACCCAGTCCTTTCCAGATCGCGCTGCCACGGCCCACCGTGTGTGCTGCTGCCTGGTGTCGTGGAGATGCCACCGCCGCATTACCGTTCGGAGCAGGCGCTTCCTTGGTACTGCAAGAGCTGCTGCGGGCCCTCGGGGAGACCGTGGTGGAATCATGCAGAGGCGCGGCAGTGTGCGAAGTGCAAGCTGGGCAAGGGACTGGTCTTCCACAGCGTGCGCCAGCCCGCGGCCCCCTCCCAGCGGAAGAAGGGCAATCAGGGCGGCAGCGGCAACGGCTACTGGGACGACTCCGTCAAGGTGGCCAAGCTCAAGTCCGAGCTCGCCGAGGCCCGCAAGCGGCTTGCCGCTGTGCAGAGGCCGCCGCCTGGCGGGGAGGACGTGCAGATGGAGCCGGCCGCGGACGGAGACGGCCCCGAGTCCGTCGCCAAGGACAGGCTACGCGAGGTCGGCGACCTCATCGGCAAGCTCAAGGGCATCACCGAGCCGTCGGTCGTGGCCACGCGCGACAAGCTGCTGGCCGAGCAGGCCGAGCTGCGGGCTAGGGTGGCGGAGTCCCGACCGCTCGGACAGCGCTTGCGCGAGATGGGAACTCAGTTCACCAGGCTGCAGAAGCTGCGCGACGACCAGCAGACCAAGCTCGATGGGCTGCAGGCGCAGTTGCGCGACCTGCAGGAGAAGGAACGGCTCACTCGGGACAAGCTGGCGGCCCTCGACGCTAGCATGGAGGAGCTGGACCAGGAGCGCAAGAGGCTTCAAGGGCAGGTTCCGACGCCTGGCGACAAGGCGTCGCTCGACGAGCCGATCAAGGGGGTTGGTGCCACGCTCGAGGGCCTCGGGATCTTGCTCCAGAGCCTGGGCGCCGATCACCAGCTGTCGGGCAGCCTCACGGCGAGCTTCCAGGAGCTGCAGAGGTTGCAGGAGGAGGAGGCGGCAAAGTTGGCTGCCCAGAAGGCGCAGGCGGATGCTGGGGCCGAGGCTGGTCCCGACGTCGAGCAGGCCGAGCGGCAGGACGACGCGGCAGCGCCTCGCACACCACAGCCATCTGCCTTCTCCGACGACCCTGAGTTCATGGAGGAAGTCGTTGCGGCTGGGGGCGAGAAGCACAGGCTGGAGGAGATCTTCATGCGTTGGGGTGCCAAGGTCAAGAGGCCCAGGCTCACCCCTGCCTAGCATGGCTCCACGGCGATGTTTTGCGTGTCTTGTGTGGTTCGTCCTCCTTTGTCGCACCATGGCGTCGGTTTCAAGTATCACCACCGTGAACGTGTCCTCGGGCGGCCCGCTCGTCGACTTCCTGCCCACGTGCTCGAGTTTATGCATCGCGGTGCAGGAACATCATGCCAAGGCCGAGGGCGATGCTTTGGCGAAGTTGCAGAATAAAGTAAGAGCTGCTGGGTACCATGGTATATGGGAGCCCGCCCTACCTGGGCAGGGAGTTGGCAGCAGAGGCGGGGTTGCGGTGCTGGCCCCGCTGCGGGTGGTCATCACCAAACCCCCAGGCCTGGACAGTCACGTGCTGCAGGAAGGCAGGATGATGGCGGCCCACGTCCACGCTGGGGTGAAGGGCGGCTTCGTCATGCTGTCGTGCTATTTCATTGTGGACGTCAAGCTGTCGCCCGAGAACCTGGCCATGCTGTACAAGCTGTACCAGTATGTCAGGTCGCTGGAGGCCATGGGTGTTCCGTGGATCGTAGGAGGCGACTTCAACATGGAGGTAGGCGAGCTCGGCCCGTTGTCCTGGCTCCAGTCGGCCAATGGCGTGGTGCTGGCGCCGAGAGAGCCGACTTGTCTTCAGAGCCTTCCTGGCCGCACCATTGACATGTTCATGGTTTCTTGCCGTTTGCTGCCTCGCGTTCGGCAACCAGTGGTCGTCGACGCGGAGACGTGGCCGCATCTACCAGTGACCATGGAGCTCTCCGCCACGGCTTTTGACGCGAAGGTCAGGAGGCTTGTCGAGCCACGCGGCTTTCGGAGGCCGCCTGCGGCGGGGTGCGCGAGGTTCCCCCCCGACTGGGACCCGACCTTGGCGATCATCCAGAGCGCGTCGCACAGCGAGGGCATCACCAGGGCCTGGGACGTCGTGCTCAGCGGCATCGAGTTCGAGCTGCGGGGCCGCTACGACGTCGTGAAGGACGTGGCGGGGTACTCCACGGTGCCAGGCCCCCCGACCTTCGAGCTGGCGAGTTTTCACCCTGTCGTGAAAGGTGCCTGGAGCAGGAGGTCGGCGGACACCCAGGCCTGGGCGCAGGCTGCGCGCTGGGCTCGTCACCTCAGGAGGGTTCGAGTGGCCTTGCAGAGCTTCGTGCTCCAGCTACGCCCGCAGCAGGTCTTCGAGCTCGGCAGCGTCGGCGAGGCGCACGTCGACGGTGTGCCTGGCCTGGGCGATGGGGCACCCCCTGCTGCGGAGGTCGTCGGAGTGGCTGGTCTCTCCTCCGATGGTGGTCGGCCTCGGTCGAGAGCTCAGCGACACCAGCCCCCGCGACGGGCAGGCGAGGACCTATCGTGGGACGCCGTGCACTCCAAGGCGGCGCGCCACCTGCTGGAGTGCGAGAATTTCTTCCAGAGAATCTGGCGGAGGAAGGGAGTCTGGCCGCACCTGGACGCCGAAGCCGTCGGCTTCTTCTCGCGTGGCATACTTGCCTTAGCGCAGGCAGACTTCGAGCAGCAGGTCGACCGCATCCTGAGTATCTCCTCCGATGCTGAGGCCAAGCATGAGAAGGCCGTGATGCAGAGCTGGAGGCAGTGGGCGCAGGCAGCTTTTGCGGCTGGAGCCAAGGGAGCTCACCGATTCATGAAGCCCAAGGCTCTCCAGGAGATCGTGGACGGAGGCAATGGGCTACAACATGGGTACGTACTGGCTGATCGTAAGCTTGAGTATTGGGAAAGCTTCTGGGTGCGGCATGGCGGTGAGCTGGCTCGCCGACCTGTTGATGCTGACACTTGGGAGCAGCTGCCAAGGCTTGAGGCGGCCGACGTACTCAAGGCAATCCGTTGTTTCTCTTGGCAGACAGGCGTCGGGCAGATCAACATCGCGCCCAGGGCCATGGAGCACCTCTCCCACGGGGCGCTGACGGCTATGGCGCGCCTCTTCGAGCGGTGCGAGCACCTCCTGCTGTGGCCAGACGGCAGATTCCTCTCGAAGCTCGTGAGACTCCCCAAGCCAGGGGGTGGGGAGCGCCTGATTGTGCTGATGAACACGCTGGTCAGGATCTGGGGACGGGCGAGGCGGCCTGTCTCGGCAGCGTGGGAGAAGGCCCATGCGCTACCAGAGGTCTGGGGCCACACTGGAGGCAAGTCGTCGAGTGATGCGGCCTTTGATTTGGCGCTCACCAAGGAGATGGCGACCCTGTGCGATGACGACGCCATCATTGTGCTGCTGGACATGCTCAAATGCTACGAGCTGGTCAGGCATGATGCCATTTTGTTGGAGTGCAGGGCCAGTGGATACCCTATGCGAATGGCGTTCATGCTTGTGCAGATGTACCAGCAGCTGCGCTCGGTGCACTCGTATTCTTCGTATTCAGTGGCGCGCAGGGCGTATCAGGGCATCCTGGCAGGCTGCACCCACGCCACTACGCTTCTCATGGTGTTGTTGACTCGCAGCATTCGCCAGACGATGTCGGTCGCTCCTCAGGTTCAGCCCAAGGACTTGGTGGACGACGTCGCGCTGTGCTGGGTCGGCAACGACCCGAGCGGGGTGCGAGAAATGGCCATTGCCACTCGTGCTTTCTGCAGGGCTGTCCGGCCCCTCGGGCTGGTGCTGCAGATGGATAAGTCTGGGCACCTTACGACGTCCAGGCGCACCAGCTACCACTTTCAGAAGTACGCCAGGCTGCTGAAGATCGCTGGCAAGAGGCACATGCGGTATCTTGGCCACGACCTAGCTGGGTCGTCGGCCACAAGGGCCGTGCAGAAGGGACGCCTGAAGGCCATGCACGGAAAGAAGGCCAGCGTTCGAGCACTGCAGAAGGGAGCAGGACGACAGCGGGCGGCTCGGCTCTGGGCCACGGGTGTGCTGCCATCCGTGGGGCACGGAGCCACGGTCAGCGGCATCAGCGACACGGAGCTGCAGCAGATGAGGACCATGGCTGGCGTCTTCTGTGGCTACAAAGGGTCGGGCTCCCTGACGCTGTACCTGGCCGCGCAGCAGTGGAGCTTCGACCCCATATTCCACGCTACCTTCAGCATCGTGGGGCAGTACGCGGCGTGGGTGTGGGATGGGCGTGTGACGCTCTCCCGACTGCAGCGGGCCTGGATGGGCTTGCGTGACTCCTGGGAAGCCCGCCACACTCACGTCACGTGGGCCAGTGCGCAGGGCCCGCTTTCGGCCTTGTGGTTGTCCCTCAGGAGAGTCAACTGGAACATGGCAAGTTCTACAATCTTGGTTGACGATGAGGGCCTGCATATCAGTTTGCTGCAGTATTGTCCCAGTGAGGTGCTGTTTTTCCTGCGTCGCAGCCTCGACCGTTGGCAGAGCCATCGTATCCTCGACCAGCTGCCTGAGGCGCCCCCAGCCGATGGTGACGGCAGGCGGCAGCAGCATGTGTGGCTTCGTGCGCTTCGACTGGGACACGCCTCCTTGGCGCCTGGCCACAGAGGGGCTCTGGCCAAGCTGCAGTCCAACGGGTTCTGGTCGCCGCAGCGCCGCATGCAGGCTGGCTACGGCGGCGACGGTTCGTGCGAGTTCTGCGGGGAGGCCTGCTGCGACCTCGAGCATGAGATCTTCGGCTGCACGGTATTGCATCAGCAGCAGGAGGACGAGGAGACGGAGCCGTACCCCGAGGAGGTGGCCAAGAGGAGGAAGGACATCCTGGAGGCAGCCCCGTGGCGCGACGGGGGCCAGGTGCAGGACTTCTCGGCCGTCGACGTGCTCTACGCGCTGCCCCTGAGGCCTGCTTTCAGGCCGCTGCCTGCACGTGCTCAGGCTGAGCGCGAGTGGGGGGCGATCGACATGCCGTGGCCGTCGAAGTTGTACGGGGACGGGTCCTGTCTTGAAAGTGATTTCCCTGAGGAACGGCGCTGTGGCTGGGCCGTCGTAGCATTGACCCGAGACCTGTGGCCATACAAAGCTTTGTTCGGGAGCCTGGGGGGCCCTATCCAGACGGTGCCCAGGGCCGAGCGCGTTGCTGGTCTCAAGGCCCTGCAGAGGGCCCAGAGGCCAGCCACGTACGTGACTGATCATTTACAGCTGCAGGTCGAGGGAATGGCCTGGGAGGGTCGTCATGCTTCTGCCAGAGCGCCTCACGCGTCCATCTGGCGGAGCATCCACGAGCTGTATAGAGGCGACCCTGTCAGGCCCGTGTTTGTTTGGACGAAGGCCCATCGGACCGTCCTCGAGGGGTTTGAGGCCTGCCTGGCCTCCCAGGAGCCCCTGGAGCATTTTTTCGGTAATATGTGGGCTGATGTTTTCGCCCGCGTGGCAGCGGCTGATTTCCTTGGATCCACCTCCGTGGTCAAGGCTCACAAATTTTCTCTGCTTCGGGCCCAGGACACGATGCGTTGTCTGGCCTGGGCTGCCGAGCGCGTGGCCCGCCTCTCCACCCCGATACTCCGTGCGCCTCCGAAGGCTGTCTTTCGGCCCCGCCGTCCGCGGCGGCCGACCGATCACGACTTTGTGGTCTTCGCTGGGGGAGCTATTCGATGTCGAGCCTGCTGGAGGCTTGCAGCGACGGCCTCGTCGTTGAAGTCTCTGGCCTCCCGTGCATGCGACCCCCAGGAGGTCGGGCCAGGACACCAGGTCCAGGCCTTGGATCGAGTTTTGATCTGTGTTAAGTGCGGGGCGCACGCTGTGCGCCCCAATCGGCTGTCGGTCGGCCTGTCTCGAGCGTGCAAGAGGGCTGGGACGGGGTCGGCGGGAGCTGGGAGTGGGGGGGACGGAGCTATCGCGTCGATGCTCGAGCTGGCTCGAAGGGGCCTGCATCCCAAGACGGGCGAGCCCCTCGAGCCGCTCGTCTTCTCGGAGCTCGGGGTGCCTGCGATGCCGCAGCAGGCGCCCGAGCCCGAGGCACCTGACTAGTGGGCGGAAGTGCTGGCGGGGGGCGCGGTGCGAGTGGGGACTGCCCGGCGTTGCGCCGTTAGTGACCCTCGCACCGTTGCTCCCCAGCCCCGCGCACGGAAGGAGCAGATCCGCTGCACTTAAGGGCCCCTTAAGTGCAGCGGGCTGTCTTGGCCTCCATCGCGTCGATGCTCGAGCTGGCTCGAAGGGGCCTGCATCCCAAGGCGGGCGAGCCCCTCGAGCCGCTTGTTTTCTCGGAGCTCGGGGTGCCTGCGATGCTCAGCAGGCGCCCGAGCCCGAGGCACCTGAATAGTGGGCGGGTGCGGGCGGGGGGCGCGGTGCGAGTGGGGACTGCCCGGCGTTGCGCCGTTAGTGACCCTCGCACCGTTGCTCCCCTGCCCCGCGCACGGCGCGGAGAGCGCCCCTTGTTGGATGAGGGCCCTCTCTCGTTCTTTTTTTCGAGGCGTGTTCGTGATTCACCTGCGCGCTCTCGGCACTGTCCTCACTGTCCTCCTCCTCCTCCTTCTTTCATCCTCTGTTCCTCCTCCCCATCCTTCTCCTCCTCCTCCTCCGGAGCGAGCTCAGGTCCTGTCCCTAGGATGCGTGCTTGAGGCAAGGGCCCACAGCCCCTGGGAGAGCTCCGAGCTAGCCCTGGACCAAACATTGTTTCTACGGGCTCCTCCCCCTCCTCCTTCTCCTCCTCCTCCTCCTCATCATCAGCATCATCATCATCATCATCATCATCATCATCATCATCATCATCATCATCATCATCTTCCTCATCATCACGTTCCTCCTCCACGGCACTCCTCCTCCTCCTCCTCCTCGTCCTTTTTCCTCTTCCTCATTTTCCTCTTCCGCGTCACCCATCCTCCTCCCACCCCTGACGAGGGCGACGTCGACGCCTCGTCGATACTCCTCGATCTCGCGTCGTCGACGCTCGGTCGAGTGGTCGTTCGTCGTCGTCGTCGATTGTTCGAGGTTCGATTGATCGAGGTTCGATCCGTACTCCCGACGATATTTGTTTCTTTTCGTTTTTCTTCGCATTCGGCCTGTGTGGCCCGTTGTCAGGCCCGGCGGCCATCAAAAGCGGATCTGCGACGAAGAACTACCCTTGGGAAAGGGGCTGGCACTTCTGGGGCTGGGCGTTGAAATTTTGAAAAACGCATCGTCGGGTGTTTGTGTGGAGGTCGTCGTCGATCGATCCTTCGATCGAAGGTCGATCATCGATCGTGCGGTCGGCGTCGTGGATCGATTGGTCGAGGTTCGATCGTCGATCGATCGGTCGCCGTCGTTGATCGATCGATGCTCGTCGTCGATCGATCGGTCGTCGACGCTCGAGCGATCCTCGTAGTCGACAGATCGGTAGCCGTTGTCGGCCATTCGAGGTTTGGTCGTCGAGCGGTCGGTCGGCCCTCGATCGATCGAGGCTCGATCGAACACCTGCCAATGAGCGGCCGGCCACGTTCGATGATTAGTTCAATGTCGGGCGTGTCCCCCTACAGGAGGATTTTCGACGAACAAAAAAATAAAACATACCCCAAAAAGGTCAACAATATTCAAAAGATAGTCCCCAGACTATTTTTGGACTATTTGTTGAGTAGTTCTTGGGTATTTGTTACGTTTCGTCGAAATCACCCTGTAGGGGGACAGGCCCGACTTAAGACTAGTTGCCGTCCCCCTCCTCTCCTCTCGCCCTCGTCCGTCCTCCTTTCAGTGCGCTCTGCAGCGACGCAGCGCTTCTGGCCCGGAGACGTATGCACATGCACCGATCCTGGCCAGGCCCATCCTGGGCTCAGGACGGGCCT